ACTGCACAAATGGAGAAATGGGTAAAGAAACAGATGATGAATACACTCCAACTCTAACCAACAAAGAAATATAACATAACGTTAAAATCATGAAAAGGTCAGTTTTCACTTTTCAAGGTCAACATTTATTTTAGTATAGGGGATAGGCTGAAACAATATGTAGTCCAGTATATCCATCTGCATGTAGGTAAGAACCTATATTCTGTTTGTTTTGATGGCTTTGGTGACCCACCAAATTCTTTTGTCATCTCTATTGGAGTGCTCTGCCAGTGAAAGCTTTTAACCATGAATATACTGTATGCTGACTTTAACGCAAGCTCAATAACACCAGTATTAGCATTAGCACCGGTATTTTTGAGACAAACGGTTTTCTGTTCCACAGTAGCAGAATAAAGCTTAATGAATGAGCCTCTTTCTATGGCATTGGTACAGTATTTTTCTTGCACCAGCACTCTGGTTCCTGTAACGATGCAAAGACACCACTTACATTAGCTGCTTACATGTAGGCCTGTTATGAGCACTAAAGAGGTAAAGTTTGCATCTGATTCATACTTTTGGAACAAATCATGTCAGTGAATCAAATTTATCAATTCGCTTTCCCCTGGATTATTTTTTCCATATGATTCACTAAGTCATTCTGTTCAGAGAAGAGAATTGATCTCCAGAACTCATGCAGTTCCAATCATAGCTGGGAAAATAAAGGGAGGAATTTAGAAAGTGAAGTTTAATGTGGCACTAAATGAGGCCATTTATATGCAATACACACACATTATCCCTACAGTATGAGTATTTTTAAAAAACACCAATAATCTAATTATCTATTTATCACCCAATGTGTTAGCTGTTACAACAGTCCCCTCACAGACCCACTTGCTACAGAAGGTTAAGCAATTAAACCTTCAACACTGTATCTTGAAACTGTGAGTGAACAAATGAAATTTAAATGTTAAATGAAGCTGTTTAAAAAGTACAGCTTCAGAAATGAAACGGAGAAATAGACACAAAGACATCTTTGTGTTAATGATCTCAGAGTTGCTATGTTAATGATGGGATGAGGTCATGGTAAATTCATCATCCAAAAGGTCCTAAAGAATAATGATTCTGTCTGATATTATTGTTTCAAGGCAATTTAAACATTTTGCTCTGTAAGGGGATGTTTTCAAAACACATACTTTCAGTATGCGTAGAACATTATTATAATATTCACCCATGCTTTATTTTTGAGACCATAAAAGTCAGTTTAATATAACATTTGTTTTTGAAATGACATGTACAATGTTGAGATATACTGTAGCAAATAACAAAATCCATTATTTTAAATTGATTATTTTTCCAGTAACACATTTGTATACAATATAAATCTACACATTAAAGAATTTCTGAAGGTTTATACTGTGTGATGTGAAATGCACTCAAATTGTATTGGATAGGAAAGATTTTTTTTATGTCTAAACAAAGACAAAAAGAAAAGTTTGCCATACACAAAGGGAATCTTCCAGCTTGAATATGGTCAGTACTGTTATTTTTTAATGGAACATTCCTAAGGGATGATTCACTACATAAAGATAAGATCACTTTATAGGCCATATACAATTTCTTGTATTAGGAATTCATCTTTTCGCAAACCCCAGCTTGTTCTCCATGAGAAACACAGACAGGGAGAGAAACTTGGGGTCAGAGCACAGTGTCAGCCATTGTACAGCGCCCCTGGAGCAGCTGGGGTTAAGGGCCTTGCTCAGGGGCCCAATGGAGTAGGACTCCTCTTCTAAGCCACAGGCGCAGATCCTTAGCCACAGAGCCACCGCTCCGCCCTAAGAATTACAGGTGAAGAGTCTGTGTGAGTGTCCCCACAGTGTATTTAGTTTTTGGTTGGGTTTTAATAGCAGTTGTGGGTGGGCTGCTGAGGAATGTGTTTTTCTGCTGTAGAACTTGCAAGTTCCAATATTACCTTGAGTGAGTTTTAAAGCGTTCATATATCTTGACCTGCCTTAGTTAAGAGTGGGGTCTGTCCCATCTGGAGGCTCATCTGGGTTTGTGGCCTGATTGAGAAAAGATGTGATACTCCCTAGACTATTTTTTTTCTTTTCCTTGACAAAACGTGCACATTGGTCTAGGGCAGATACTGGAAGCATTTGTGATTCAGGTCAGATAGGTAAGAGTGGAAGACCTAAGCATCTTACAAAACCCAGGTAAGCTTTGGGAGACAAAAGAGAATCCACAGGGTAATGTGCTGGAGGGTTGCGTGTAAGGGAGTGTGGCAATCCATTTGGAGTGATTGGCCCTCAGCCCAGGATCCTTGGGAATAGCGGTCTTGGTTTGGGGACCACTGGGCGTAGTATACCGAGAGTGACCATGATTGGTGTGATAGCTGTGAAGATGATGAACACGACTTGTACTGTCTCAATACTACATACCTTGACATGTTTACCTTTCTAAGGGTTAAGGGAAAAAAGGGCTAAGGGAAGTATATGTGGCACGGCTGGAATGTCCCACAACCTTCTGACTCACGTCTGGGGTAGTGCTTGATGTTTACTCCATGCGGAAGGAGAAATAAGAATCAGAAATCTACGACTTCAGACCAGTTGAATTACACCAGCTTACAAGGGCTGGAGGAATAGAACACAACCCCAGTGTGTCCTGAGCTTGGATGAGACTAGCTTAACTTGATGAGAAAGTGACTAAAAACCAAATGGGCTCTCAGAAGCTGGTATCAGAAACCCAGCCAAAGTAACAACTGGTCTTACATGACAAGGAGGTCATAACTCTGTAGGTCCACAAGCGCTCCAGCTGCTGGGACCAAATAATTTAGATTTAGCAACAATTTACCAGGGACTCCAGTGTTGTCTCTGATAACTTAACAGCCAGCTAGGTTTGCAACCACCACTTCCATAGCAATCTCTGGTATATTCCTTTATACTTAATGGAAGACGCAAGTCAGGGAGAGTAATGTGTGGGGGGTAATCACAGTGGTTAGACTTCATTTAATGTATATGCTACTCTGTAAAACATGCACAGTAGTCGCGCTTTAAAGATTTTCTTTAAAAAAACCTCTGGATTATAACATAAATCTTAAATTGGTAAGGAGGTTTGAAGACATGGCAGATCCAGTACAATATGCTGCCTGTGATAGTATCTTCAGGAAAATGGGCCATTCTACCCAAGCTCTAACTTGTAATACATTGAATGAACAACACACAGGAGCTGGTGTAAGTTAAGCTACCGCTTTTTATTTTCCTGGTGGTCTTGTACTGAATTCATGAGGTCTGATTGTTTAGTTCAGTCCATTTCACACTCATTTATGAGATACATTATCGTGATACCGCTGTAAAGGCACTGCAATATAGGGGGAAGTCAGGTTGTAATCCACAACACCTTTCATGAAAACAAGAAGTTTATGTCAGCTTTTGAAAAATGTTTCCCCTTCCTACTTCTGCAAAAAAAAATCCAATGTGCAAGGTCAGGAACTCTGAGCACCACACATTCTAAATACATTCTATCATGATAGCTTTGAAGAAGCCCAAGGGTACGAGTGTAACACTTAGATAAACCCCAGGAAAGAGTTATCTGTAAATAAAGCGCTGTAAATTGAGCAACATGACAGTCCAAATAAAGCTGGGCCATATTCGAAAATGCAGGATTATTGTTTAGTGACTGCCTGCGGCTATAGTTATGGCTCCTAATCAACTGAACAGAATGTACATTCAGAGAGCTCCTAGGCAAAAAAAAAAAACTTCCCAAAGTGTAATATGGTTTCATAAGGTGTTTACAATTAGATATCAAGCGTTCCTTCAAAACACCTCTAAAAATGTGTTCTGTTTTGCCTTACATATTGCTTACATATTACTGATTTGTTTATGGTTGTTTTATCCTGCCCCTAGTCAAGATCTTTGCATGTTTTGATTTGTTTCTATAAAGTATCTGTTTCCTAGGTCATAAAATGCTTGCTTAATTATTGGGTAACCATGTATTTTGATGGAAATAACCATCTCAGTGAGCTGTACAGCTGAATTGGTACAGTCATTTTCCATACAATAAAGACATGTTCCTGTCACAGTTTGCTGTGCTGTTTTTTTTTTTATCTGAGTAACTGACAGGTTAAATAAAAGAGAAATATGCACCAAGACTCAGACCCTCTATGCAAGAAAGGATAAAGGAATAATACTGTAGTTTCTTCAAAGATAACATGAAAATATCAGTACAGGTCTACCCGCTGAGATGAGACTACAGAAGAATTCTCAGATGACACACTGCAATTTCAAGTGAGCTTTCCACTTTTTAATTGGACTTCTTACTAGAATGAAACACAAACGGTTGTATTCATAATAATGCCCCTAGATGTATGCAGAGGAAATCTTTATTGGAAGATTATGGAAATTAAGCTGCAATTACTTATTCAACCCTTACAATACTTGTCCAATAATTATTTGCTTTGGGGATATTTGTTTGTTATTTCCAAACAGAAATGTTTGGGAAATCTGTTTAGTTTTTTTTCATCAGTGGTTTTGGATTTTAAGATTGTACAGGCTCCTTTCAGACATGTGACCTAAAAAATAAACAAATCCTGTGTAAGCATAGCCTTTTTATTTAATTTAATTTTTGTTTGTATGTTATTCACTGCAAAGATTTAAAATACAGCCAGTCATATTTTTCTCACGGTGGAATTGCAAATGCTATATAGCATTTGGAAAATATTAAACATCGCCGAAATAAGTATTTTCGTTTGCAGATACAACAAGGTGGTAAAATGAGTTCTCACATGAATATAACTAATTACATTCTGGGAAGGTATAATTTAAATTTAGGAGTTTTCGAGTTAATATAATAGATACTAAAACAAGAACTTTTATTTACCCGTGATTTGAAAGAAAAATGCAAATAGCTGTTTAGCAGAATTTAGCCAAATACTGCTTGTTTTGCAATGTTTAGCTGCAACTGGCTATTAAACACCATCTTAATATACTATTAATTAAAAAGGCTCGAACTGTGCAATTCTCTTTTACCTTGAAATATTGAAGAAACTGAAACGTTGATCACTGTAAGTTGGTATTAGTATTGTAACGCCCACGTAGGACGCTTAGCAGCTGCTTCGTCCCCTGTGGCCATGCGCAAGGTGGTCTGGGAAGAGCGGCTGAGGGGCGGGACTTGGGGGGAAACGGACTGTAGAGAAAGGGGCGGGGGCTGTAAGGTGACCACTTCCCCCCCGTGTCTGTATTAGTGTAGATGGAGCGCAGTAATCCTTGTCGATGTGTGTGTACCTTTCCTCGGTTCTGGTTAATAAATGTGTTGTTTAACCCGTTTTCCCGAGTCCTACGCCTGCTCCATTCCGTGCCGAACCCCGTGGTCGTTACAATGTTTTAACTCCATAAAAGCTCTGCTTCCTTTCTGTTGTATTTAGTTTGAAGAAATTGTGTTACAAAGCTTAAACAATCAGAAAAACGGGTGCTTCTGCAAGAAAATACTACGCGAAGAATAACTAAGCTGCTAATGGAAGCTGTGGAAACTTTTCTGTTTAGTTTCAACAGAGCTCATTATACTCAACCTACTGTAGCAGTCAGTGGACCCATTTGGCTTTACTAAAACAAAAATGTAAAATGTATTATCTACTGCGTCTGAAACTAATTCCTTCACAGACAGGTGAATTTGAAAATATTTTTTTTTATTTTCTGGGGTTAGAAAATCAATAACATTTAAACTCTGGATTGTCTAATAGAATAACTAGGGTTTAGTGCCATTCGGTTATGCCTTAAATGTCAGTGAGCATTTAGACTCACTATATCAGGAGTCTGGGCAATTTCATGTTTAAATGGCACCTTAGAGGTAAATCACCACCCTTTCTGCAGCACAAATAAATCATTTGCAAAATGCTGAACTTTTATCTTGCAAAGAAAAAATAAATCAATTTCGGTTAGGACAAGGGATACGGCTTGCAAACCTTATGTTAGTCAGTGACACTATAGAAACACTGTATGGTACATTAACAACAGGATTTCAAACTTGCAAGGAATTCTTTTAACATGAGCAGCTTTTCTGTTGTGCAATTGTATAACTAATCCTTACCTTCCTGGCTGTTTCCTACATAGAATTCAAAACTGACAAATTATGCTTATACTCATATTGGAACAAAACTCACAAAATGCTCTAATCAGTTTGCTAAAGCATTTATAAACCAGCAATCAATTAGTAGGAATCTTTAAATGTACAGTATATACAGTATGTATGTGTGTACAGTAGATTATGAATGTGAGTAAACTATTTTGCATACTGTATATATATATATCATGTTTGTCTGTGTGTGCCTGTGTGTATTTTACTATGGGGCACACAGCATATAATATTGTGTTTGTAAGCAACAAAACTAACCTGATCACATTTAGCAGGTTGCCCATGTAAATAATATAAAACAAAAGAAAACAGGTTCACCTTGTTTTTGTTAATGAACATCCTTAAGTTAATGAAGTACAGAAGAAGAAATGCCAAAACAGCCATGCAATGTTGTAATCTCCCTTTGGGGAGATAAAAGCATGGGAAAGACAGAATTTTAGAAGAGACATTTTAGGACGATCAACAATGACAAAAAATGTGCAGTGATAAAATTGCAGATGTGAGACTTCAAAGCAAGGTTGATATTCAAAACAATGCCTGGGTTTGTGCCTTAAGAAATTAATTTTACCTTGGCTCTATTCAATCAGCAGGCAACTCTGGAATTGATAAATGACATAACTAACTTTTGTCTTTATCATAAGCAAAACCAACACAGAGGTTTATATCTCAACAACTGAGTACATTCAGGATAATACAGAGGAAACACAATTCAATTTTTTTTTAAATTACTGAGACTGACAGTGCTACTGGAACTTAAATTCTTTTGCATGATTTAATTCTTACTTGTTATTTTTGAAAGATCATACTTGCCAGCTGTGGTTGTAAAGTAAAACAAAAGCACATGCTTCAAGGTACCAACCTAAATAGTGTTATGTTTTAGGCATCTGCAACATGATGTGTTCAGCTTAGCTGTGGAAAAATTGCAAAATCTCATTCACACCAGCTGCTGCTTCAGATAATGTGACACCACAAGACTGCAGGGCTTTGTCAAATAACCCTATTTCGCCAGCTTCCACTCACACCACAAGCCAGGAGACAACAAACAAAATTTGAAAATTTATGATACTGTACAGGGAACAGGTAATGTTTATTTTTTAAAAAGAGAATGACTGGAGTTTTTAAACAAATTGAATACAAGCAAAATGCTGACTGAGCTTGTGTCTAAGAGACTCTAGTGAAAATTATAAATTAGTACTGTACAGTATGTTTCTGTCTACACTTCCACAACAATGTACAACACTCAGAGGGATTAAGATTATTTTTATTCTTTTTCCCTAGTCAAACAACTGGAAAAGTTACAAATTAGTCTAAAATAACTTCATGTCATATAGGGATGAATCTTACATATTACTGTATTCTCTAAAACATGTTTCATCAATGAGTGGTTGTGTGCTTCTTAATAAGCCCACAATGAAAGTTAATGTAATAAATACAAAGAACAATTAAAGAACAGTAAAGATATAACTTCTACCTAAACTGAAAAGTAGAAAAGGCATTTTTAGAAATGACAAGATAATGTACCATTAAATGCTAAAATAATTTCTAATACCCATTGCCTTTTGTGTGATTTCTATACCAGATGCAGCTAAGTCATTTTACAAGGTAAAGTTTCAGCTTACTTCAGAATTGACAAGACATGAGATGAGGGTATTGTTCCAAGATGCTTGGGCAATAACACCTCCACAGCTATAACCATTCAATTTTTTCTTGCAAATACTGACAGATCACAGTTCAAAACCTTCATGCAAATTTTGTCTCAACAACTTCCACATAGCTATGCCATTCCTACTGTGTCATTTTTACTTCCTAACAGGCTGACTTTTCAATAACACACAATCTTGGACACAATTTTGTTTGTTGTTTTTACAGGCTCACTGAAACATTATTTTTCTTTTTTTTTTTTCCTTTATCTCCTGTATAAAAATGGATTCAAGCAGATGCCTATACAACATAATCAGACTGTTTTTTCTTCTGTGTTTGGCAGCATGATCACGAACTGTGGAAGTTGACAAAAGACGCAGAGAGGTTTATAACATAATATTTTTGGAAGGGATAGAACTAGGAAGAGATTATGTAGTTCAACAGCTTTTTGTATTTATTAAATTTAGATCTGCTGGCAAGCAGGACATATTAAAATGTGTTCTGAGGAAGTAATGATTTAAAATGATTACAAAATATTGAAAAAGTGGTTCCAAAAAAACTAGTGTAGTAAAATAATGGTCTGAGTCACTGAAATATCACTGCTGTATTTTTATTCTATTGTAACTCTTTGGGGGAAATACATTAAATTAAGAATTTAACCTATGTTCTGAATCTACTGACAACATACCTAATGATCAACATACTGTACTAATACTGACATATTAAACTATATTAATATCCTATAGGGCCAGTGCGCTGGCTTTAGGGCTAAGGAAGCTTGCCTTCCAGAAGGGAATCCTACTCCGTTGGGCCCCTGAGCAAGGCCCTTAACCCCAACTGCTCCAGGGGCGCTGTACAATGGATGACCCTGCGCTCTGACCCCAAGTTTCTTTCCCTGTCTGTGTGTTTCATGGAGAACAAGCTGGGGAATGTGAAAAGATGAATTCCTAATACAATAAATTGTACATGGCTAGTAAAGTTATCTTATAGATGATGTTGTAGTGTTATCATAAACAATTCTAACACTCAGCTACAGTATTTTCTATTGAAGGAGATGACCATTTTAAGCAAAATTCAGAAGGAAAAGAAAAAAAATGTACAGTCCCCATATTTTTCTCAGTCTCCACCAGGTAGCACCACCTTTTAATATTAGTATCAGAACTCTTTGATCATTTTCTTCTTATAAATAATAGACAATCATTTAACAGCTTTGATGCTAAAGCTGTACCTGCTAAACTACATTATTATTATTGCAGTGTTCTAAACTCTCTTCTTTGAAAAGCTCATAAACATTTTTTTAGCATTTGTAGTTATGCAGAAATTGTAGCTATGTAAGTTGGGTGATTACTTTTAGAGGAACTAAAAAAACAGAACTGAAAACAAAGAATAAAATAAAGAGGTTTTTTTAGAGTGATTAATACCCTGTTTGACAGCTCGAGAGTATTTTATGGTCATTTTAAAGTCACTAGATTTATTATTAATTAAGATCGCAAATAAGATGTATATACTGTATGACTTTTGTTTTTACTTTTTTCTTCTTATTACCACGAATCTTAACAGGAATGATAATAGAGGGTTCAATTCCTTGTAGTTTTATACATATACAATAGAACTGGCAAGTACAATACAAAAGACATTAATAGGCCAAAATATTAGGACCCTTAAATGAATAACGGTATGCCTCTGAAAATGTTTGAACAGGAAAAGAGTAGGAAACCCCCCGAGTTTTGCTTGTATAGGTAATGGTGTGTGGAATTGTGTCAGATGGAACTCAGTGTCATGCATCACAATTTGAATTCACATCACCTGCTGCTGAGAGCATCATCTGACCAGGGCTTCCTTATACTCTGTATTTTGTGATGCACAGCAGCTTGCACTTTCCATAAGAAGCACTTCTCATTGCTGGTGTCCCATAGTGTTTTAAAGTAAAGAACAGCTGCTAACAAATGCTCTCAAAAATAAACCAAAGCATATGTTTTCAAAAGTGTCAGACTGGAAGGATCCCATTCTGATCTTGAGTGAATGAATTGTAGTAATACCATGGTGTATAAAAAATCTACAAGCTCCTGCTTCCACTAATTTTGCTAAGTTCATATGACAGCCAGGAATGAATATGAAGTACTTTACTCTATTAAGGAGCATGGTGGTGCAGTGGTTAGCACTGCAGCCTTGTAATCCAGGGTTCAATTCCAGGCCCAGGATGCTATCTGCATGGAGGTTTTTATGTTTTCCTCATGTTCATAAAGGTTTTCAAAACATTCTAGTAGGTTAATTGGTTGTGGGGAAAATTGGTCCCAGTGTGAGTTGTTAGTGTCTGTGTGTCTGCTCTGCAATGGACTGCCATCTCATCAAGGGTGTACCCTGCCTTGTGACCGTCGCTTGTTGGGATAGGCACTACAGTAGCTCTCCTGCGACCCTGAATTGAAAGTAGCGGTTAGAAAATGGATAGAAAGATTAAGTAACCTTCTAAATTTTGAACCTTTCTAGCCAATGACACCAGTGTGTCCACAGACTAGACCAAGACAGTAATAGTAATATTAATATCATTAATTAAAATCACATAGTTGCACTTTTTATTCTTCAAACACCTACTGTATATCACTTTCTATCCAAAAACACAGAGCACTTAAATGACTTAACAATAATACTTAATAAAGTATCCCTGAGGGACACACAGTTTCATAAACACATGAACACCATAGACCCCAGTTACCCAAAACCCAGTGTCCCAGATTAGCAGTCCAGCAGCCCACCATGTTGCAAAATAGAGCTCCAGTTGATGACCTGGCCTGCCCCTTCCACCACAGTGAAGAAACATTTTGTTGTCTTATAATGGGTCTTAGGCACCCTCTTCAGTCATTGCCTTCCCTAACAAAGTAATAGTTTATGCTTCCCCTACTTTGTTTCTCTGAGTCCAAGTCAACTTTTGATGTCCTGTATCCAGTGGTACATCCATCTTCAATGTTCATTAATACCTTCAAAAACATTAATGAGACCCTAAACTGTTTGCTTCAGTTACCACATCCATGATCACACAATATTTAACTCTATTCAAGCTTATTACCAGTTCCGCAGCCAGAATGTATCCATTATATTTGATTTTATATATTTTTTATATTTGAGCCTTTATTGTGCACATCATTATACTGTATGGGATGATGCATTCAGAGGCTTTAACAATACAGGAAAATTAAAATAAAATATTCTGTGATGCCTTACACTGCTCCTTTATCTTTGGGCTAGAGACATAAATGCGCAGAAAAAGCAACAACACCTCTGTTAAAAATATCCTGGTGAGTTTTGTAGTTAGCTGAACCTTTACAGTAAAGCTGTCAAAGATAGGCTTCCCACAAATTAATGAAATCTCAACTCTACTTTAAGTAGCACAACATTTGGAGGAGAAGTTGTTGTGTGTTCTTGGTTTTTTGTTCTTTCCAATTTTTAAGAACATGTACAGCACTAAGCCTAAAGTCAAGAAGGACTTCATCATGGTTGATAAACACCACCAAAGTGAGAAAAATGTCCCATATTTTGTAATTTGTAAGACTTATGTTTACAGTTAAACATATTAAGTTTGCATAGCTGCATATTTTTTTTTTATTTTAGGATAACGAACCAAGAAACATTTCCATTTTCTTTAGATTGTCACTGGTTTCTCTTTCTGTTGAATGGCGCTAAACCTAAGCAGAATACCTGATGAAATTCCAGTGTTACTGTCATAGGTCTAGACTTCAGCTTTAACCACCTGAAGATACTACAGCAAGCTTCCTTCTCTCTGCTTCCTGATCTAACTGCTCTTGACCACGCAAGGTATTGCTCACTCTCCTTTTTTAATGAAATAATTATAGAAAAACACACTTACTGTATGCAGCGATGTTGCAGTTTGTGGTGTATTTGTTTATTGCATCTTTTGATTCAGTTCAACACGCTCGTATAGAGAATGAGCATCTGTGCAGCAGTTTATCTTATGCCAGTTGCTTCTGTTTGATAATTTGCTCATTATGAGCCTGGTTTCTATTGACCTCCTTATTAAACTTCCTATATGCTCTTTCATGTACCATACATCCTTAGCCAGTAAGGAACTTCCGAGTACTTGCCAAGAGTTTTAACATTATTTAATTTAAAAATGTATAAAGGGGAGGACCATAAGAGCTGGGTTAGCATAGGCAATGGACCATTTTTCCAGCACTGCTTATTTTGGGTGTAACTTTTAATGACAACCTTTTTATTTTATAATGTATGACTGCATGTTTGTATGTACTGTAGAGTACATTATATGCACCTGGCTGATTGAAAAATATGATGTGCTAGCAGAATCCTGATAAAATTGGGAAACACTGTTTTATTAACAATGAAAGCTACTGTTTACTTTAAATCAATTTTAATGATACATGCAATGCTTTCCATAACATTTCATATACATATCATGTCTTAATCTTCAGATTTAATGAATGATGCATGAGTTTAAAGCTTTTAATTTGGCATGGGTAAATTTGGGATACAAAAAAAAGGTATTGTAAATTATTATCAGACAGCAGAAGAGTTTATTTCACACCATGAGTGTGACAGTATCTATTAAAAGGAACTTCTATGCATAATGCATAGCACAAGTCATCTCATAGTATCCCTTTTTCTCTATGTTCAACAATACAGGTGCAAAATCATCCTGATTGAAGACAATGTATTTCTGCATGTGAAACAATTGACCATTTTAATTTTTACTGGGAACCCAATCAAACAAATCTCAGATAGATCTTTCTCTCATCTGAAGATACTAAAGCAGCTTACATTTGTGGAAGTTTGTATTTCTTCTATAGGGGACTTGCCTATTTTCTCCTTGACAAAACTGAAGGAGCTGAACATGGGCAAGAACAATCTGAAGACAATAAGAATGCCACATACATTAAATTTCACTGCCCTTACACTTCTTGAGTTTTGCAATAGTAACATTTTAAGTGTACTGGCAAAAGATACTTTGTGTTTTAGAAATACGAACACAGCAAACCAACTGTAACAATCATTTTATCAAAAAACAGAATTGCGGACATTGAACCTATAGCTTTCAATGGAATGCACATTGGTGAACTTCACCTGAGAAGTGCCTTTACCTCTCCTGAAAATACGAAGAACTGCCTAAGAGCAATGGCAGGCCTAAAAGTTGACAAACCTGTCCTTGGAAACTACAGAGATGATAAAACTCTCATATCATCTCAGACTAACCTTTTTGAGGGCTTATGCATGATCACATTTCAGGAAATACATCTCCTTAATATGAAACAATTCCCAAAATATCTTGAAACCATGGATGTATTTTCTTGTCTTGCAAAAGCTACTATCAAAATACTGCACAACAGATTGGAGAGTTTAGCTGTTCCCTAGTTTAAGAATCTTAAAGTGTTAGATTTGAGTACGAATGCATTTAATGACTTACCTACAGCACAAATATCAAACCAGTCAACCTTAGAGAAAGTGATAAGAAATAATGAGTTTTTGACCACATTCTTATCAGGTTTTACATACATGATCAATCTTAAATAAAAAAGATATTAGCTCTAATCACCTTAGTATGAAAAATTGCTGTAATCTAAAGTTTTCTGGATCACCCCAATTAAAATACCTTAACTTGAGCTACAATGCTGAAATTAGGTTTTATATCATACCCTTCAACGGACTTGAATATCTAGAAATTCTGGATCTGAGTTATTCAAAGCTTGATACTATTGGGGAATACGGTTGTCTACAAAACCTAAAAAATCTAAAATATCTTGATATTTCTTACACAAATACCTATTTAAGTGTTCATAATTCAATGGATGGTCTAACAAGTTTAAAGATACTGAAGATGTCTGGAATCCTTTTTTGGGGGAATATTTCTGCCTATATTTTTAAAAACCTCATGCAGCTGGAATACCTTAATGTCTGTGGGATTAAACACTTGCACTGGGGTCACAGGATTCCAGAAACGTTGGCATTTAATTATCTCCATCAATAAATTATCAACTATAGATTTTCTTTTGAACCCAAGTCTTATTTCACTGAAGTTAATAGATTTAGATAAAAACATGTAAACAGTAGTCCTCAAAATATACTTGCTAGGCTGCCAAAAAACCTCTCTGCTTTTGACATATCCCACAATCCTATTGAGTGCACTTGTTCCGTCTAAGAATTTAGAAATTGGGCTGTCAAGCACAAAGCAAAATTGAAAAACCCAAATTATGTTCTTTGCAAAAGTCCATTATCTTCTTTGAATAAAAAAGTGATAAAATTTAATATTGATTCCTGCAAAAATACTGTAACAATTGTCATAACCACAACGTTCAGTACTATCACTTTATTGTTTTGACAATTGTTGCCTATAAATATCAATATTACTTTGATTATGGCTGAAATTTCATGATGCCTTCGTCATGTATTCCAGTGGAGATGAAACGTAGGTCTTTAAAGAGCTGGTAGTGTCACACCCTCCACAGCTGGAGGGCGCTCCTGCTCTGTCCTGTTCCTAGTTGCCTTGCGCTTTCCTTGTACTTCCAGTGTGTCTTGTGTCTGGGGCTTTATATTTCCAGGTCTCTCCTTCTTACTCGCTCGGGATTGGGATCGGTTGTCAAGAGGCTTGCCTCACCAGGTCGCCCCACATCCCCTACCTGAGGGCTTATGTCTCACTCCGATTCCACCCAGTACCTTGAGCCCGGTCGAACCCTCTCATTCGGTCCGTTCCTACCGCTACGCATAGGGTCCTCCCATCTCACTGGTCTCTCTCCATGGCTAGTCCCCGGCATCTAGGACATCTAGGATTTAGTTGAAATTGTTACCCATCTTGCACATTTATTATGAAGCAAGAGAAAGCAGGACTTACTTTTTAAAAATCATTCACTGTTTCCAGAGAATATAAAGACATATCCCGAATTCAAGGTCTAAAAATAAATTTTCTTAAGATACTTCTGGCTATGCTAGGATTTACTTTATTACCAATACGTACTGATCTCTCACTGTTACCACCAGAAATTATTAGTCTATCTTTTAAAATAAAATAAAAAACATGAGTTGGTTTGCATATACTGTAAATAAATTGTAAGTAATCCCCATCACAAATATCTTCTAAAAACGAAATCCCTTTAACCTGAATGATTGAAGTACACAGCATGTAGCAATTACTACGTATGTGCAAAGTGAGAGATAAATAACAGGTTACCTCCTTCCCTTCTCCTATTGCAAACAACAAGAACAAGAAAAAGAAATAATACAATCTCTACTTGCTTTAGTCAATAACCATATAAAAGAGAAAAACAACACAAAAAAATTGAGAACGTGTAAATATATACCTTTCTGAACAACATCAGAATAAAGGTGTGGGATCAGGTGTTGTTTAGAATGAAATAATAAAAGTAGAAAGTTAAGTTCAACAAAAATCTCAGTTTCCAATTATAATTACCATATTGCAAAACTCTAACATGAGATTATACTGTGCAACTGATGTCAATCATAAAATGGGAATACAGAACATAAATTTAAATAGACGCCCAGACATGATCTTAGCCACACACAGAGCTATAACAGGAATGCTGTGGAAAACTGGTGTTCATAGAAAAACTTTTCATAATATATTTTTTTACTTCATATCATCTGATCAAGGGAGCTCTTTAGATCTAGTGAATTCTTTTGTCTGCATCGAAATACAAACTGTTCCACAACATGAACATGATGACTCGTTTAATATCTGCACTGCTGACCCTAAAGATTGAAATGAGTTCAATCTGTTTTATGATTTTTTTTTAAAATGAAGACAAGAATTTTTGGTCTTACTCAAAGAGGATGATAGACCCTATCTGCTGTATACCTACAGTATAGACATTTTGCTTTACCTTTCTAAAATAATGGCAAACAATTGTTAGCAACTTATCTTTGACTACAAAGTACATAATGTCTGTGTTGCAGGGTATTTGGTTCTGGAGATACAGTAGGTATATTACAACTGTTTTAAAAGCCCTCAGTTTTATTACAAATAGCTCTAGCTTTATCTAATAATACTTTTAATTCCAAATTTCTGCTGAAATTTTGGTGTAGCAATGATTTTGATATGAACCCACTTTCATGGTTTCACAATTGCTTACTGTAATAAACTAAATGAGTTCACAGGACTCTATTCTGGACTCTTTTGTCCATCTAAATCAAAAACGTTATTCAGACAACAGGAAACTCTTTGATCCACTTCTGTGCAGACAGGGCCATCTAATACTCTACTGGAACCCCTTTTATCATCAGTAATGACAATTTTTCTACTTAGGTTTGAGTTGGCCAGCCATTAGATGACTAATGCCTAGAGGGGGAGCTGAGTAAGTGGACTGGTACTGTATGGGTAGATCTTCCTGATGTTGTACAAGAAGAATCTGCAAGTGCCAGTCGCAGGTGACATGTATTCGTTGAATGTGAGGTTGTCATTCATGTCAGTCATAATAAAGTAAAGTCCTGGCTGGGATGCAGAGATGAAGGTTGGTCACCTAGAAGGACAGGTCTTTCCAGAAGTGAGAAGAAGTGTGTCAGAGGGTCAGAAAGACATATAGAATTGGGTACCATCAATGAAGCACTGATAATGAAGCATCATGGCCAGCAGCCATATCACCCTGCAACTCACAACTGGCAACCCACTGAAGCTAAGCAGGTGTGAGCCTGGTCAGTACCTGGATGGGAGACTCCTGGGAAAAACTAAGGTTTCTGCTGGAAGAGGTGTTAGTGTGGCCAGCAGGGGGCCTCACCCTGCGGTCCATGTGGGTCCTAATGCCCCAGTATAGTGATGGGGACACTATACTGTAAACAGGCGCCATCCTTCGGATGAGACTTAAAACCGAGGTCCTGACTCTCTGTGGTCATTAAAAATCCCAGGGCGCTTCTCGAAAAGAATAGGGGTGTAACCCCGGTGTCCTGGCCAAATTTCCAATTGGCCCTTACCAATCATGGCTACCTAATAATCCCCCTCTATGAATTGGCTACATTACTCTGCTCTCCTCCCCACTTATAGCTGATGTGTGGTGAGCGTTCTGGTGCACTATGGCTGCCGTTGCATCATCCAGGTGGGTGCTGCACTTTGGTGGTGATGGAGGGGAGTCCCCATTACCTGTAAAGCGCTTTGAGTGGAGTGTCCAGAAATGACAAGTTAGTTAAGTGCAAAGCATTGAAGTATTTTTGACAGGCAGGGTAGGAGAAGAGAGTGAAAGACAAAGTAGAACTGTCTGTTACTGGGGAAGGTCTATGGGGAAAACACGGAGAGGAATGCAAGGGATGGGGAACAGGGGGCAGTGCAGACAATGACCCAGGTCAATGGGGGAGCACAGGCAAACAAGTCCAAATGAGGGAAGTCCAAAATGGGAAACTACAGTAGGGCGCAGTCCAGGGTCCAATTGCTAGGAGATCCATCCAAGACACAGGATTAAAACCAGGAACGGGATCAGGGACAGGAACAAGGAAATTAAAAACAGAATGACAAGGCCAGGTGCTCTGAGCCCTGGACTCAGCTGGTCTGGACAACATTCAGAAGCCTATGCCCTCAAGACGAGCGTCCATATTCCAATGCAGAGCCCTGAGCTTTTGGAGCACCAGGTTTAAATAAAGGATGGAACAAGGGGCAGGTGAACGGGATATTGAAGCTAACACAAAAGGGTCGGAGTGCCCTCTAGAGGAGGACAAGAGAATCTTGTATTAAAATTTATTTGAGATATTTATATTGTACTTTTTGGTTTTACTCTCACTGTGATGGCTCAGTGACCTACTGTAGGGTTTCAGTATATTGCTCACTTCCTTGATTAACAGTGGCTTGCAGTGTTAAAGTGCCCTATACAATTTAGATGGCACCTGGATTTCTGAGGGGTGAAGATTATAATGAAACTAAAATTAATTAAATTATTTATCTTGTATACAGTACAAAAAAACATTCACAACATTTCTAACCTCTTTTAGCAATTCTGTTAACTGATCTGGTTTAAATTGACCCAATTGGGACATTCTCTCTAGAAGATGGCAAGAAGAAGGAATCATGGTATTATCTGATGATTTGATGACATTTTCATGATAAATACAGTGGGTTTATGACCTTGCTGTTAACAGTATCAAATCGGTCTAATTACCTCAAGCAGTTTCTGCCACTTAACTGGCAATTTAGAATTAGATGAGAGAAGCAGCAGCAGCAGCACTTTGTTACCTGGGTTAAATGAATGCAGGTGAGTTTTTGATTATATTACTGTTCTCGTGACTGCCAACCAGTGTTTGAATTTTTAGGGGATAATTGGCCTACTAACTGCAGGTGATCTTGTGATGAGAGGATATATTTCACCACATTAACGTTTTTGTGAAAATTCCTCCCACTCTCCCTTCACATCATTAAGAATTCCCTTATGCCCAATGACCATATTGCAGCTTGCATAAAGAAACTTCACCATAGCTTTTGGGAACTTCCTAGGACATCAAACAGGAGTTAAGGAAAGGAACAAATACTGTACCAATGTATTTGAAAATACATAGGTCAAGCATACATAGGTGAAACACACTGTTTTGGCTGTGGGGTCTTCTTCAGGTATGAAGATTTTGTTCAGTTATACTAATGTCACGCCACAGATACAAATATGTGACAGATGCTTTATTAATCTGTTAGTGGCCAGGACCCCAGCATCACCTTTCAGGGTCAGTAACACAGATTATATAAATCAAAGATGAAAGAGAAAATTGCCCCAAGTTACAATCAACACAATTTTGACTGATGAGTGAATAAAGACACCATGGACTTACAGCCAGACATAACCTTTAGTACCTTATAAAACTATACAGAGCTATCCTACAGTGTCTCTTTTTGTGAAATTGCAAATTGTATTAAACTTAATATTTTAATAAAAACCTAAGAGCTCCAGCTGAAGACGTCTAGGCATAACATGAGTGACATTAAATATCAGCCAAAAAAAAAAGAAATGTTGATTGATAAGATAAGATCACTTTATTGGCCATATACACTTTCTTGCATCAGGAATTCATCTTTTCGCATACCCCAGCTTGCTCTCCATGAGATACACAGACAGGGAGAGAAGACTGGGGTCAGAGCACAGGGTCAGCCATTGTACAGCACCCCTGGAGCAGTTGGGGGTTAAGGGCCTTGCTCAGGGGCCAAACGGAGCAAGATTCCTCCGCCGGCGGCAGGATTTGAACCGGCAACCTTCCAGCCACAGGCGCATTCGGACCTGTAAACCCAGTCCACTGAAAATACAGCTACAAATCTTTTGGGGAATCTCTCCATCAGCTTTGCACACAAGTATTGACCATTATTTTTGGGCAATTTTTTTAAGCTCTCTTGAGTTGCTTAGGGATCACTTATGGATAGCAGTGTTCAAGTCTTTCCATAATTTCTCCAT